GTGTGTATGTGTATGTATGTATTTATACACATGTTTATGTATAAATTTTCTTTTCTTTTCCTTTTGTTGTGTGTATGTGTATGTGTGTGTGTATGTATATGTATATGTACATGTATATGTATATGCATATGTAAATGTATGTGTATATATAATATATAATATATATATATATATATATATATATATATATATATATATATATATATATATATATATATATATATATATATATTATATATATATATATATATATGTAATATATATATACATATGAATAGACACCGAGGGTGCGTGCATTTATTTATAGGCCTAGAGCTCCTTGCGATAAACATACATACACACCTGCACCTCGTCAGAGCGTCTGTTAGGCCTGTCTCCGCACAGCCGTGGATTCCGCTCAATATAATAAAAAAGCCTCCTGCGTTTTTACCGAAAAATCCTAATAAATCCGTTGATGTTATAATTGTAAAGCGACCAAAACCCGCTGATAAAAATCTGTCTCATTCCCATCGGCTTTGACTTCAATCTTAAAACAAAGTGAAAATTTTAACGGAATTTTCATCGACATTCACATAAAAAAGTTTTAAAAATCTCATAGAAAATAGGGAAAAATAGAGAATCCCCACAGAGACAAGCATATACGAGCCATAAATGTAAGAAAATAAGTGGCAACCACCTTCCCTGAAAGCAAGGGCAGCGATCCGAACGCAGCGTCCACCAAAACATTGATCGCCATTTCCCTCGATTCTTCCGATAACATTTTCGTCATTTCTTCTTCTCTTCCGCGTGAGTCACACTTGCCCGAGACTTTTTAATGAACGGAAGTGTTGGGCCCAATATCCATGCACAAATAGAGAGAAGCGGAGGGGCTTTTCCCGTTTATTTGACGTTTGGTAGGGTAGACTGCTATTTTTATCAGGGTCAAACTTAATAACACACTTTATTTGCCCTTAAAACTAATTTAGTTAGTAATAGACATTGAGAGGGGAAGAATGACCGTGATATTGCCGTTGTGTGTGAGTTTTTTTGGTAGATATACGAAATTTTCAGGTCGTAGGAAAAATCCTCGAGTGATGATGAAATCGTTTTTGAAAGTTCATTGTCCCGTTTTTAAAAAATAATAATTTTGAGATTCTACATCGGACATTTGATATATCTGAGGCCTCTTCTTTTAAAATGGAGAAAGTACAGATGTATTTAGACAAGGTCACAGAATCTGCTATGATAAACATGAACCCAAGGACACACTGTAAACATCCCCACTTTAACACTTGTTTCTTACCTATTCTTACCACTCTTGGCAATTCTTGAGCATTATATCATGATTTCAATTTGGACTGGTTGTTTTCTGATGACTTCCCCTCATGCTTGTGGAAGAAATAGTTATATTTGAGGAAGGAGGAAGCCTTTCTACTTGGTGTTAATAATTACCTTTAGAAAAACTCAAGGTGAAGGTCATAGATACTTGGGAAAAGCCTTGGACCGGGAGAGAAACCTCAACTCTGTCTGGTCTGGAAGTGGTGCAGGCAGGCTCACCTGTGCGGAGTGTAAGTCCTCTGCGGCTGTCATTAGATCGTGATAATTAGGAGAAAAGTAGTAAATGGTTTAATGACCAAGAAAGTTACATGGGAGAGTATGTGATGTTTTATATCTTGTTTTCAAAGTGTTGATTAGAGATTGTTTTCAAAATGTTAACTACAGTTTGATGGATTTTAGTGAAGTATGGTTACTGGTCTGTGTTTCTTTCATGGGGTGTAGTGTTATTGAGAAAATGGTGTTCATAAGATGTGAAATTTGATAGATCTGTGTTTTGTACTTTTGTTAGGATAGTTCACAGTGTCTTGATAGAGAGGTTTGCCATTCCTTGTACAAAACTCTTACACATCTACACTTGGAATGTAGATTCCTATTTTAGTGGCTAGAAACCATAGCAGATTGCTAAGTTCTTGAATATGTCTAGCAATTTGTGACTAGTCTTGCTGTAGGGCTCAGATTGCTCTGTGAGAGCGTTTTGTGCACTTTGGCATTGCCGATTTTGATAATTAGGATGCAGTGTGGGAAGTTCACTCAGAGCGAGAAATAGGCCTACAGAGTGTGTACAACATGTCCATGGTCTGAATATCATGTAGTAAAATACACACACACTTCTATACACACACATGTGAATGCGCACATGCAGGCTCACGCGCTTGTGAACAGTCACACCAGTTATATAGGAAGATGAAATTTATACATTTGTATAATGCCTGTAAATCCTGTTTATTTCTTTAAAAGCTTTACCAAATCATTGGTAATTAGATGATATTATGAAACAGGAGGACCTATTAGTTGTGTGGCTTTGAGGCTAGTACTTTTATCATTACAAATTATGTATTTAGTTATTTGAAGTCACACAGTAATTGTCTTTATGAAAACTTTATATTATCATGGCTTAGTTTAGATTTGATATTGAGAATACATAGCAAGTAATGGCTTAATCCAATCTGCACGGATGGCAAGA